AGTTCCTGCACTCTTACACCACTGGTGGTGCCTCTTAGCCACTTTTGTGCCCCCACCCCTGTGTCATTAGGGCTCTTTGGCAGTTCATGGTCCTCAAGACCAACTTGAGCTGCACGCGTGGGATTTCTTGCATTTGCAGCCTAGGTTCCCACATCAAGCCCCTGTTCCCTCCTTGGCTGTGGGGTGGCCATCCTTGCATGTTTACCTTGCGCAGCTAGCCACAGGTGGTCTTTGCCATGTGCTGCGTTGGCATATCAGGCCTCCTGAGCCCCCTCTGCTCAAGCACACAGTGCGCTAGGTGGCCCTTTTTCCTGTTGCTTCGAGCCATGAACAGCTCCTGCACACCTGAGCTTCAGGAGGCACTTGGAAGGCTTGCAGACCTGCAGGAGGCACTTGGAAGGCTTGCAGACCTGCAGGCAGAGCTTCAGACCTGCCTTGGACCCATGAGGCGCACCCTTGAGGCCACCCAAGAGGAGTTGCATGAGACCAGGCTTTTGGTGAGGAACTTGTCCTGAGACATCACATGTCTCCACTACTGCCTCGCAGTTTGCTGCCTACTTCTTTTGATAGCCATGCGATATATTTGCTGAGCATGCCAGAAAAAGAGAGACGAGATTCTTTTCATATTGAAAAGGCACTTCTCCTTTCGGGTCTTGCCATCCCATGTCTGCCAGGTGATGTCTCCAGATTGCCATGGCCTCAGTGGCTGCTTTCATGTCCATAACCCTGGGCTTTGTGTGTGTGTGCGCCAATTTTTCAGGGTTTGGAAGGTGCCCAAAATCCAAACAGCCCTGTCCATGCCATGGCATCCATGGCATGGGGCATCCATGGCATGGTCCACCCAAAATCCAAGGCTTGCCAGGGGAAAATGCCCGCACTCGTTCTTTTGAAGTTCTTTCCCCAAAGTGAAGGCATGTGTGTTGGCCTTGGAGTGGCTCAGCACTGCCTGCACTTGGAGAAATGGCCCATCCAAAATTGTGAATGCAATGATGCTGGTCAGGCAAAACCAAAGAGAGTAACAACCCAAAAAGCAGTTCCAGGATGCCTTTAATGACAGCTGCCATGCTTTGAAGTAGACACCCACCATGGGCGCACCAGGTGAGGGGCCGGACTTGCGTGCCACTGTAATGTGTGACACACTGCTATTTTGAGGGGGTGACTGTTTAACATTGTGAAGCTCGATTCATTATATTTTTGCCACAAAGAGACAACCCCTGGATTCTTGAAGCTGTGGTGTCTGTGGGCTGTCTGCCAGTTGTGTCTAGCCTTTGGGTATCCTTGAAAAGTTGTGTCTTCTGCGCTCAGCCATGCCCAGGTGCTTTGGGGAAGCCAATCTGCTGGTCGGCTGTGAGGATGTCAGTTTGAGAGGAAAACGAATTGTTGTCTTGTTGAGCCTGCTACTGTACTGGGTAATTGTGTGCGCATACCGAAATGATAATGTTGAACGAATGGCCAGCCAGTGGAATGATGTGCCTGCCGTGGGTGGGCACCTTTGCATGCCCAATGTGAACTGCCATGAGTTTTTGGCTCACAGCACAGCACAGCATGCAGGCCAGCAGGCTTGCAGTCCAGACAGCTTGCAGGCAATGCCCCAACAGAGAGGGCTTTCGTATGAGAAGCGGCAAGGTGTCAGAACACTCAAGAAGGCTGTCAAGGTGGCCACAGAGGAGGCTGCAACCTCCAACAAGAAAATTGGCATCTTGAAGAATGATGTGAAGGAGCTGAACTCTGCACTCAAGCACGTTGCGAATGATCTGATGGAGGAAACGTGCCTCCGTGCCAAGGCTGAGCAAGAGACTGAGAAGATCAAGAAGGGCAGGGACGTTGTTCTGGAGAAGCACCAGGGGATGTGGAAGCGGTTCTATGACAAGTGCAACCAGGCAGGGTTGACCAAGCATGACCATGGGCCTGGCAGTTGCTACCCCTGACTTGACCGCAGGAAAAGGACGCCCTCTGCATTGAGAATGCAGACTTGCACTTTCAGATCATGGACTTGCAGGAGAAGCAGGAGCAGAGCTCTTCTTCCAAGAGCCAGCCATCAAATGCCAAGAAGCCTGAGATGTCTAAGAAGTGAAGCCAGCATTGCAGGCCTACAGGCCTGCAGGCTAGCTTGAACTTGGCTACCTGGCGCCGTTCTGGAAAAAAGCTTGTGAAGCGGTGGGTGTTTGTGTGTGTGTGTTACCCATGTGTGGTTGCATGTGCCGTGCGTGGCCTTTGCTGAGCAGCTCAGTTGCGCCTGTTTAGGCTCAAGGTCACTGTGTACATGTCTGTTTGCGCTGTGTTATCAATGGGCTTCTCCTTGCGTTGCAATTGAAGAGCCCACCTGCGGGCAGCACTCATCAGGGTCAACCGATGCAGCACATGCACTTGGGGCTTTGGGGCTGACGCGCATGGCTTGCAGCTGGGGGGCAGGGAGGGGGACTGGAGCATTTATTGGTCTGGTGCTGAACGAATTTCCTGCCCAATGGAGCTGTTTGGAAATTAGATGTTTTGCGCCACTTGGTTGATTGAAGGTTTGCCCTCCCCCTTGCATGATGTCTTCAAGGTTTCTGGCATTAATGTTTAGTGTGTAATTGGTGTTCAAATTTGACAATCCCATCAAGGAGCATCAAAGCTGAACAGTTGTCCTGGCGAAAGTGCAACATTGGCTGGCAGAACCCCAGCCTCCAATCGGTCAACACCTTCAAAAGTCAGTGGGGCCCTCCCTAGTGTCTGACAAGGGCTGGGGTGAACTGCGAAAACTTGCCTTGAACATCCTTTAAGCCTCTGGCCTTTGTCTTACTTGTTCCCAACCCCTACAGTGATAGGAAAATCCAAGGCATGGAGTCCATGCCTTGGCAGGCTTACAACCCCACAATGTGACTGCGCCCTAGTGAGTGGCAACATTGCCTCTTTGCCTGCCAGGCCTGTGTCACCCTGAAGTGAGGGCCTTAGATGCCTGGGCCTTAGTGTCTGCACCTTAGCTTGCAGCAGGCTCCGCTCTGCTGGGGCCTTAGTGAACCTCAGTGCAGGGCTTGAGCCTTAGTGCCCAGCTGCCCCAAACAGTCAAATGGCAACTTCTTTGGCTGCAAGCGTCTGTGTGCAAACACATTGTGGCTGCAGTGTGGTTTGGTGCACGGGTGTGCAACAGGGCATGAAACTTAGGGTCATGGTCAGCACACGTAGCCCCACATGCATTTTCTCAATGGCTGTGCCCTCTATGCATAGTGCTTTGCAGTTGTTACAGTTCTGAAGCAAAGCAGGGATATATATTGACCACTAGGCCATTGAATATTGCAGTCTTGGTGCAGGCTAAAGTGCCCCATGACCATCCTCCCTCTCTGGCCAGGCCTGCTTGGTCATCTTTACCATGTGCCCAGAAAAAAATGGTGCGCTTTTCAGCGCTACCCGCTTTTCAGCGGTGCCTATGTTTAAACCCTCCCTCCCTCCCTCCCTCCCTGTGAACTGCTGCTCCAGGTAGCCCGCCAAGTAGTCAAGACAGGGGGGATGCAAGAGGGACCCTTAGGGAATGAGAGGTGGGATGCCTGGCAAACAAAACTAAATCTTGGTATCTTAGAATGTTGGTGCCTGTATCTTAGTTCCATTTCTTCTGGTTTTAGGGATACTACCGACGGACAGAGCCCTCTTCGCACCAGTTGGAAGGGTGTGTGTTGCAATACTAGTTTAGCGTACGTTTTCTCGCTTTGGGCGGTGCAGGAGTCCATCAACAGGGTTCATATATTTGGGAGGCGGTGATCGACATAAAACTGAGCAGCCGCTGTGTCCAGTCTTATCACGCCCGTGCGGGATGTTCAGCTGACCACCATGTCAAAGGCTCGTACGGAGGGAAAACTATGGACGTCCCATAGCCCACCGACTATGGAACGAACGGACCAGCAAACACGAACCAACAAACATCAAATCAAACTGAATAAAAGTAAGCAAGCAAGTTCAGTCAAGCGAATGACAGCAACACACATCAGAATCAGAACCCGGCTTATCAGCCAATTTCTGACCTGCTAGCTTGACTGCCCCCAAAAACAAGGACCCCAATAAACAGATAATATATACGTAGGTGTCAAATGTTGTTTTGATTCCCCTGAGCGAAGAACAGCCCCATGTTCAGCAAGCAGCTGGGTTCCAAATGGGGGATAGTTTGAAACAATCCAACAATTACCCGGCCTTTTTGGCTTGCTCTCTGGTGAAAATCGAATTCCGGGCCACTCACCACCCAGCATCATAAATTGGTTCGTTTGTTTGCTTGCTTGCTTGCGTGCCTGTCCGTTTGTCTGTCTGTTTGTTCGTTTGCTTGTTCTGCTGTGTTGTTTGGTTTGCTGGTTGGTTTGTTGGTTTGTTGGTTTGTCGGCTTGTCGGCTTGGTGTGGCTAGTTGTTTCTTTGTTTGCGTGTGTTTTTGCTTGCTTGCTTGCGTGCGTGCGTGCGTGCTTGCTTGTGTTTGCGTGTTTTTTTGTTTTGTTTGTTTGTTTGTTTGGTTGGTTGGTTGGTTGGTTGGTTGTTTGGTTGTTTGGTTGTTTGGTTGTTTGGTTGTTTGGTGTTGTTTGTTTGTTTGTGTTTGTTTGTTTGTTTGTTTGTTTGTTTGTTCGTGTTTTTTGGTTGATCTGGTTTTGTTTGGTTGGTTTGTTTGTTTGTTGCTTGGGTTGGTTTTGTCTGGCTTGGCTTGGTTAGGTTGGTTTGTTGTAGGTTGTTTGTCTGTTTGATTGTTTGTGTGTCTGTTTGTCTGTTTGTTTGTCTGTCTGTCTGTTTGTCTGTCTGTCTGTCTGCTTGCTTGTCTGTTTGTTTCCTTGTTTGTTTGCTTGTTTGCTTGTTTGTGTTGCTTGTTTGGTTGGTCGGCTGGATTGATTGTTTGTCTGCCTATTATTTGTTTGGTTGGTTGTTTGTGTTTGGTTCTCTGTTTGGTTTGGTGCGTCTTTGTGTAATTATGTTTTGCTTGGTTTGGTGTTCATGTTTGGTTGTGTTGATTAGTTCGGTTTGGTTTGCCTCTTCCTTGCTGCAATGCCTTCAGACAGCCAGCTGCCCGAGCCGCCGGTGGTCCGAAAGGCGAGCTCGGGTCAACCATGGGGCGGCAAAAAAGGGAAGTGCGCGGGCCTTGTGGTTTCCCTTTGAACCAATCAAGGGCACCCCAACTTATATGCACGCAAAGTTTGGTAACATGTCTCAATGCAGAGATAACTTGGACCCTTTCAAAACTGCATTGACACCCTGGTTCCCTACAACTGCCTTTTGGGCCCAACTTTGCAGTTGCCAAGTTGCGGAAACAGGGCTCCTGTAAGAAAGGTCGTTTTGTTGTTTCCTGCCCCCCCTCACCCTCCCCCCGGTGCCAGGCACACGCGACAGCCAGGATCTGCTTGGAATAGCGACTGTTAATGAAGGTCGGGTCCAACCCGAAACGTTCGATTCGCTCGCCAGAACAAGTGCGCAACCCAAAACGCGTGGCCCCCTCTCCTTACGGCCATAGACTGCTGCATTCGGCCCTTGCACAGCGAGTCCAAGCTAGGTTGGGACGTCAGCCCACTCGCCCTTCCGCTACGATCCGAAGTGCAATCTTGGCGGCTCCCAGCCATCCCCTTACGTTTTTGGCTTTTTTACATTTAGTGGGGATGTCCATTACGACCAAACTTTTAGCGTGGGATCTGAGGACAGCTCAGCAATGTGTCATGTCACTTGGATTAAAATGGATGTGGCAGCCCCACTGTTTGGCTAGGGGTGATTGGCAAGAAAGACCAACTGACCTGGACCGCCAGTTGCTGGTTTTGTTCCACGCACTTTACTCCAAAAACCAGCAACAGTGACTGAAAAAGTAGCAACTTGGCTATCTCGGGAACCAACCTGGGCAGCGCTTCGCAATTCTCAGGCCTCCCTTATCCATCTCGACACTGGACATTTTGCGAGGCTGACAGTGCGCAACAGCTTTGCCCGTTTGCCCCTTTTTGGTTGGGAGGTTGGGAGGGTTCCCCCACTAAAATAGACTACAGAAAAAAGGGTTCCCTTCTTCTAACCTCTACTGGAGGACCCAGTTGAGTTGCGCCAACCCCAGGAATAAGATGCCTTTGGCACGTTCCCACTTCGGTCTCAACACCTGCAATCAGGAGGGTTTGGGATGCGTCCATGCAACTCCCAAGCGTCGGTCTGTGGAGTACTGAATTTCACTAAAATATACTGAAATGAAGCTGGGCTGAGTTTTCCCAATCAGAACCCTTGCTCCCGACAGGCAGCCCAATTGAGCCAAATGAAGCTTCTGGCAAAAATATCAGCCTTGCCATGGCGGAAATTCGCCCCGTTGATTCTCTACACTTTTTTTTGGGTAGTCCCTTTTGATACCAGGGCTTGTTGTACATTCATCGCCCGGGGGCTACTGCCCTGCATCTGTTTAAAATGTCTACATCAATGTCATTATAATAAGATTTATGCAGTGGATTAAATAATTATTTATTGAATTCAAACATCGCCCCAGGTTTCACTCATATGTTTTCCAGCCTGGCGCCAAAGCGTTCAGGCGACCGGCTTCGAGCGATTGGTGGGCCAGAACTGTGCCGTCAAGAGGCCAGAACGTTTCTCCAGAGGATTTCCATGGGAAAAAGGGTACCCATTAAAATTGATTCTCACCCCCCCGTCAACTTCCATGTTGGAAAATGGCTGAGCCAGCTCAGAAAAATGGAAGCTTGTGTTGAGTTGCCCCCCCACAAGCTGAGGCAGCTGAGGCAGATGTTCATTTAGAGGTATGTCTCCAGCTTTCCCAAAACGGGACACTTGATTCGAGTTTGTGGCTGTTTTTTAAACACGTTTTGGGTTCGGACCCTTTTCAGCATCTTTCAGCAGCTATCGAGTCCAAGGACGTGCTTGGCCAGCCTCGGTCGGAAGTGAGTTTTGTCCTTCTCCTTTCTTTGTGGCTATTTGGTTGGAGCTTTTGACTTTAACGTTTTGGTTGAACCATGTTGGATTTTTCATTGAACCCACAAAAAACGAGAATCCGATTTGCAGAGGGCTCAACGCAACCACGCCCCCCTCCCTTTCCCTGGAGTAACTGGGGTGGTTCCCCCTCTAGCCCACCACTTCAGGAAGTGACTTGGTGGCAAGGTACACGGGGTCAGTCTCGCGAGGCTCATGCAATCGCCTGGCCACGTCCGATTGCGGCGGAAAGGCCTTCACCGCTCCTCGTCCCATCGAGAGATCGATCCGCCGGGTAGGTGTGCGTCTCCGTTTTGCTCACGTTTTAGGGTCCCCCTATGGTCGCCAGAATTTGGACAAAAATATCAAACAAAACATATTTGCCCAGGTTCCCCTTTTGAGCTGGTTAAAGCATCACCTATTTGTTGCCATGTTCAGTGCTTGTTCTCTGTCTCCTTTTTTTGAGCGCCCCCGGTTTGCCAGGGATGAGGCGTTCTTTGTCTTCCCTAGGTCTGGTGTTTTCGGTAGGTCTGGTTGTCTCTGGGCTGGTTGTTCGGTGGGTTTGGCCAGCTTGGCTCCACCAACCCCCCACGCCCGACACGAAACCTGGGTTTTGCAAGATGTGAGAGCCGAGGCCCAGGCGTGCCACTGGTTCTGCTGATGACCGGTCCCTCCGGCACAGGCGCCAAGTGGAAATCGCAAGACCCAGGTGGAGTCGGCATTTTCTAGGGGTTGATTCCTTTTCCATTCTTTTCAACCATCGTTCTTTTCAAAACCCAGCTGTGTTTTTCTGGGTGTTTGATCCTGAAAAGAAGGGCCCCTGGAAAGAATGGGGAAGGTACCCCTAGAATTTTAGTTCGAAGTCTCGGATTCGACCCCTCGAAGTCCGTTTTGCTTGGGCTCTTCTTTGCCCCCCCACCAATTTTAACATGGATCCTGACAGGCGTCCCTGTAGAGGGAAAATAGTCCAGTCTTCCAGTACCCCCCTTGTCAGGTTCCTTGTGAATTGGTGGGAGGGAAAATACGGAATCAACAAGGGTTTTGTTGGAATGGTTTTCCCTTTCCGGGGGCGCAAAGGGTGTTTTCGCCGCCCTGTCTTGGCTTCGGCGACAGCAGGCAGCATGTGCCAATGTTAAATTCACTTCGAAGCGCCTGTAGAACCCACCCTTCTCCACCCATGTCTTTCTTGAAGCTGGATGCCCTATTTGACTGGAACCACAAACCAGAATGTATGTGCACATACGCTCTGACCTTTTGACCTTTAGTTTTCCAGCCTGGCCACCTGTCAGGCAAGACCATGGCAGCGAGGCAGATTGCGGAACTCATCCACAACCGGCCGATTCAGGACGGGAGGGCCCCTCTGCTCACTTCCCGAGTTTCTGGATTCTAGTCATTTAATTTAAGTAGTACCATTTTGTTGGCAAATATCAAGCTGGCCTGTTTTTAACCAACCAACTCAGGAAGTGAGTCTATCTTGCGTTCCCCTTTTTCTGCTGCTGGGGGTTCGTTGCAAGCCACCATTCACTTTGTTCCCTCCTCTTTCTTAGGTGGCGCAATTCAGGTTATGTTGGTAAAGTTTTTAAAGGGGATGATGCAACTCAAAGAGGGGTTGAACCCTTTCGCCCACAGCTGGCCTCAGCAATCAGCCAGAGCCCTTGAGGCATTTAGCACATGCTCTGATTGTCTGAGGCCATGTGCAAAGCTAAAGGCTAAAGGTGACAGCTGGGCGAACCAGGCGAACCAGGCAACTTGTTTGCACCCGGTCAGGCCTGTCCTTTCTGCCCCTTGAGTGGTGTGCTTCTTCCAACTTGTCAAGTCGCTGCTGCTCCTTAGAAAAACATATCTGCGTGCTGGTTGTTGTTGTTTCTCCTCCTTTGTTGGGGGGGTGATAAAATAAGCCTTAGTTGGTGGTTTGGGATCTGAACCCCTGGTTCTTATGGAGGGTAGATAGGGTCCCCCCGCCCTTTCGGCTCCAAACCAAGCAGTGGGAAGCTGAGATGAGTGCAGGAGTTAGAGGCCACCGGGCGGTTTCGTCTCTTCCCCATGCGCCTCGACAAAGTGTCAGCTCTCCAAGGGCTGACCGGTGAGTCTGTTGTGGTTGGTCCCCGATTTTTACATGCCAACCGCAGGTAGTAGCATATCCGCAGGTATCAGCCGCAGGTATTGCCATTTCCGAAGCGGCATTGGCCCGCCCACATATCATGTGCGGCATATGCTTGACACAAAAGGCAACAAGGGGATGAATCATCGTTGTGTTTCTTTCCAGGTCCAGCCAAGAACTGGGAAATATATGATTCGAGCTGTTCTTTTGGTGGCTCTGAGGAAAAAGGCTAAATTTGATCGCTTCAACTTTCCAAGAGAGACATAAGGACCGAGCGCAGGGGCCCAGAGGGACAACCCCAACTTCGGCCGATCTGGTTGTGTAGGGTGAACGTCCTCCACGGGCGTACCATTGATACACGCAGATGCAAAGTCCACTGGAGAAGTGGACAGGAATGTGATGTTTTTTTTCCTGAACAAAAGGCAGTAGTGCCCTTTTACCCTTTTTTGGGGGGAGGGTTCCCCTACTCTAATAGACTATAGAAAAAAGTTGGTACCCTTATTCTAACCTCTCTACTGGAGGACCTAGGAGGGATTCGCCCTTGAAGCATGGCTTGGTGTACAGAACCGAAGGGGCCCTTGGATGGACTTTTGGAGAATCCTTTCCAACCAAGAAGCTCGCACTCCTGGGAGTTATACTTTTTGTGAAGAGTCCCTCCCTGAGTTCCTGGACTGTAGTCAAGACCAGTTTACTGGTAAATTTCAAGTTCCTGAACTTTTTGTGCCAATCCACTCAAGAAGTGAGAAAACCATTTGAAAATAAAGAGTTCAGCTACTCGTTTTCGGCCAATGCATTGCGCATCATGTCTCGAGAGTGTCATTTCAAGTCCCTCAAAACCACCCGCAAGGGAACAGCACGTCCACCAAGAACCTGTCGTTTTCCTTTCTCCTTTTCCAGGGCTCCTTAACTACATGTTGCAACCATTTGGAACATGTGGCTTTTTCAACACCGAGATCAAGTTGGAAAAACCGTACCATTTGCAAGGTGCAATGCTCGATCGGTGTGTAATGCATGTAAGGATCCCTGCTTTAGGGGCGCCTCATCGGGGCGACGGAGAGGTTTTTTTCCTTTGGGCTCTTAAAGGGCTGCGCACGGATGGCCGGCTGAGGAACCAATTTCGAGCTTTGGCGGCAGCTGGCGGTCAAGAAGCATGTTTCAGGAGGGTGGGATTGGCAAAGCAGGCCCGTCGCTTTTAGCAGTTCAGCTACTGCCTGCTTCAGTTTTGAAGCTTTTTCTGAAAGATGAGACCCAGCAAAAATCGCAACTTCACAGAATCACCAGGCAGAACAATAGTGTTCCAGGATTTTCGAGCCATGAGAATCTGGAGAGCGTGTGACAACCCATTACCTCGAGAGAAAAGGTCACCGAGATTTGGTTTGCAGTCCAAACGAAAGATTTCAGGCTGGGTGGAAAGGAGGACTTGGGTTTGAATTTTGCGGTTGCACGGAGCGAAGTTGATCTTTGGACCTGTTTGACTTTCCTACTGTGTTCCAGTTCTTGCTGTGGCTTCAAAGGTTATCCTCTTATTTCCATGCCTTTTGGGCAAGTATTGATTTTTCGCGGGATTTTATTGAAAGGGAGGCAAACGTGGAGTCCTTTATCAGGTTTCGATGAGCAGTTCGATTGACTCAGATGGTTGGCTTTGCATGTTATTTTATTGGTGCGATAGGCAGGGAATGAGGGAATGACGCCTACAAAGGAATCCCCTATGGTTTCCTTTCAGGGAATCCGTAGGTTCATTCCCAACACCCTGGGTCATACCCTACTGCGCACCATCAAGTTATTGTGATGGGTGAGACATCCGTCCCAGTGCCATCCCAAACGGCTTCAGTCTCGTTGTGAAAATTTTAAGCTACCCGCATGTTCGAGGTGCCCGAGAAGGGCATGCATCTCCCAGTTTGCTGTTGGTTCACACGCTAGCACCCGTGGACCCAAGATGACTTTCCTCTTCAAGGCACCCTGTGTTAGCTGCCATGTTGGGAGGTGCAGTAAACCACCCTTAGTCCCTGCTTGGTGCTCAGTAGGGCAGGGGCCCCTAGGAAACCACAAGCCTTAACGGAAACCACAAAGGATGGCTTACAAGGGTCATTCCCTCACTCCCTGCCTATCGCACCAGCAATTCTTCCAGAATTGGCACGAAGCTTGGGGTTCCTAGTCATATGCGTTCCGAGGCATGGCTGAAGACCTGCCACTCGGATGCGAACTGCGCGTGCAACAGATATTCCGACCCCTCTGGGCTGCTTCCTATTTTCACCCACGGAGAATTACCATGCAGCCAGACGCCGCCAAATGTCGGGCGGTGCGCCTTTCGCTTTGACATACTGCAGGAAAGGGGAGCAACACCTATGTTCCCCTTCAAAAAACTGTCCATCACACAACTGGCGTCCCTTTTTTTTTCTCCCAGGGTACCTTGAGCGACCGGTGGGCTTGAAGCCCAAAGCTTTCCTATGATTGACCGAGCGAACAGCTGCGAGCAAACGAGCTCTCTCTGAGAAGCGTGGCGGGGGATCTATGCTTTGGTTTCTGTCCAGATATGTCACAGCTGATGAAACTATAGACGCAGTGTGCCCCAATCACTCACAGTGACAGCCGTCCCTGAGGTGCAATGCATGATTATCAGGGATTACAAGTTGGCTCCAACTTAGGGTTGACTTGTCGCATAATCCAATACTGATTCAGCGCCACAGCATGGGGAGCCACAAGAAATTTCATGACCCCGAGAATAGCCCCGAATAGGGAATCATTGGCCAGCAAAAGTTAGTTACTAGGTTCGTATGTTGATTTAACTTGGAGAATCTGGAGAAGAACTTCACCCCCCAAGTTCCCGTTTGCATTTCCCCGCCGGGGCCAACGGCTCGCCGTGTGCCGAGGAAGACCTTCTTCGGCCCCCCGCGGGGCATCCAGGGCTCCGGGGACCTGCCTGACCTGGTGCGCTCGCACCCAGACGCCGCCGGAGCCTTGAGGGCTAGCCCAGTTTTTTCGAGTCGCCGGCGCCCTCGTCATGATGTTGTTGTTGGGAAACTTTTCACATGTGTGCTTATTGTGGTTTAGTGGGAAATCCAACCACTCAACTGCTAAAAAACATTTTAATCCATTAAAGGTTGCCCGTTTGCATTTTTTGACAGATACCCTGGCGCGAAATCGGGTGGGAAGAACACCTGGACCCTGAACGGGACGCTTTAAGATGTTGAACAAGGGGGTGGCACATTCTGCAAAGCGACGCTCAAAGGTTCTTCAGAGAGCCCAAGCTTTTGGGTTCCATGTAATCAATGTCAATCTGGAGTGCAATGCTTGAATTCCCGAAGTGCCGATAGTAAGGAGAGCCATTCGCGAAATGACACCCTGTCCCAGGTACACCCAAACGTGTCACACCAAGGAAGCCTTCCTGCGGGATGCAAAACCAATGAAGGCCTTAGGGGCGGAAACCCGATCAGATCCCCTTTTTTCGAACCTGACACCAGGAATTCACACGGAGAACAGAGTTGACCAACAATGCTCTTCCAGCCCTGCTTGGCATCGATTACTCAGGTCATCGTCCTAGACGAGATCGAGAAGGCGAACTCGGGCTTCGCGCGGGCCCTGCTCACCGTCTTCGGGGAGTACGGCCCCTTGACAGCGAGCGGTTTCCCATTGATGCACGCCTTACATATCTTGGCTTGACTGCTATTGGGTTGGATGTTTAGACTTTAACTTCTTGGAAAATCAAGGGGTTTTCCACTAAACCCACAACAAGTTAAACGTTTTGCAAATGGGTCAACAGCAATCAAGTTGGGACGTGTTTCTTGGCCCCGCACGGACCCCGGGTTTCTTTTTCCTAGGTTTGGCGGGCCAGGTCGTCCGGAGGTCTGTCAGTGACCTGGGTGGCGAGCCGAACGCCACTCCTCAACCCACTCGGACCCACCTGCTCGCCCTGGACCAACGGGTTGCATACCTCAACTTGCGCAATTGTGTTATGCTTTTCTCCGGGCTGGATTTTTTGGCTTTCGTGGCTTTTTGCAAGCTGCAAGATGTTTCCAGCTTTTGGTGACCCTAAACCTACCCAAAGCCACAACTAAACCAACCTCTAAACCCACCCTATTGAATCCCTCAAGCCAACCCGAAACCCGAAATCCATCCTAAGCCAGCCCTGAACCAACCCGAAACCAACCCTAGGCAAAATCCTATGCAAACCATCCGTAAACCCACCAATCGTCCCAACCCGATAGCATCCATGTAAAAGTCCTTAAGGCCACACTAAACCGGCGCTGAGCCAGCCCAAGCCTGAGGTGGCTGGGAGGGTGCAGGAGTTTGACAGCCGACAAAACCGCACATGCTCGCCATTTGTTTGAATGCGACATCTTGTGCCACTCAGTTGGTGGTTCCCGGCCTGGGCGCAAAGCCGCTCGAGACCGGGGTGACAATCCGAGCTCAGAGGTTACCAAGTCCAGCCACGGGGGTTACCGACAACGCGTAGCAGTTGCAAAACTCAGTTGCCCAAAGCGAATCGACCTTTTGACTGACCTTTTGGTTTCTCCTTTCTGGTCTAGTTTTAGTCATGACTCCAAAAGGTTAACCTTCTATTTATGGAAGTGAGAAAAGCTTGGCGGAACGTGTAAGCAGTCAGCCAGGCATTCATCTCCCGTTTCACTTACCATCACGTGTCTTTTACCGATGATTTATTAGCGTAAGATATCGCTGAAACACGAACAACCTGAAAAAAAAACGGGAACACAAATCATGGTCTATCATATGTGTTTTGTTTCATTTGCTCCTTTCATGTTCTTCTTCTTGGAGAAAAAGTGGGCGATCACCTGGGCCAATTCGATGATTCCAAGGCACGGTCTACGATCCTCGAACTGGGCGAGACTACTCGGCCTCCAACGCGGCTTGATTGGCTTTCGCGTCAAAGTTAGATACATATATGTACTTCCATTTAGTGAAATGAATAGTTGTTTTTCCCTGTTTGCTGATTCCTTGCAGAAGATGTACTTCCATTTGGTTAGGAATATGTTGTTTTTTCCCTGTTTGGTTTTCCCCGGCTGATTCCTTGCAGAAGATGTACCTCCATTTGGTGAAAGGAATATTTCTCATTTTCCCCCGTTGGTTGTAAAGGGAATCGATTTCACTACTGGACATGTTTTTGCATTTTTCCAGGGGACTGCAGCAAATGGAAGCAGAACATAATGTTGACCCCAGATTGATGAACACCTCTTTGTTAATATGGGGGTGGTCCCCTCCAAAAGTGAATCCCCACTAAAACCAGGGATAACCCCGCCTATAGGGGTTTATGAATCCGGGGTTAACATTATATTGTGCTGCGCGACGGTTATATGGAGGTGCCTGCAGTGCTGCAGTTGTTTCAGTCGAGGTGGTGTGTGTAAGCCACGGATTTCTCCGTTCCAGTCATGGGTCTATAAAACTGGGCGCGTTTCCAGTTGGTGAATCCAACTATGGACCCTTCCTTGTTCCTGTTCCCCGGAGGTCCGAGGGACAGATTTCAGATGGCTGGCGCACTATCCCCAAGGGATTAACCAGCACTCGCATGGCTACGAATCTTAGTGTGACCATGGAGACGACCCCGCATGTAAACGATTCCCAATTCAGATTCACACCTATCGTGCCGCACTCATACGGAAGTCGTTAGCTTGGAGTTCCACATTCCAAGCTTTCACAGTTGGAGATGGCAGACCTTTATCCTCCTACAAAAAAAGCTGATTCCTAGCAGAAGATGTGCTTCCATTTGGTGAAATGAATTTGTTGTTTATTTTCCCCTGTTGGTTTTAAAGGGAACCTATCACTACTGGACCTATTTTCTCATTTTTTCGCGGGGGGCGAAAAAGCAAATGGAGGTGTGGCTTTCACCATTTCCGCTGGCTGGGGGAACCCCAGAGCCCTCCGGATCTGAAACCTGCAGGTTGACCAATGCCCTGCCATTCGCTGCAAGTCTTGTACCCTTTGTCTTGCTTGGCTTTGTCCCATGGAGCAGCAAGGCTTGGTGGAGTAATGTACTTTTTACCAAGTTCGGTTCTGGCTCACCTGAGGACGGTGTCCGCTCCCAAGCTACCAGATGCCCTCGTATTCCACGGCATGTTCCATCAAGCCGCATGAAAGGGCACATGTCTTCATAGTTTCCCATTCCAGGACCTCAATCCCGTTGAAGAGTTTCCCCTTCCAGGACCTTCATATCTCGTACCCCGCAGGGTTCAACCGATTCTTGTTCGCCATCAACACTAGGCCCCCCAGCAATTGGTGCCCTTCTCTCCCTTTTTTTGGTTGGGAGGCTTCCCCTACTAAAATGGACGAAACAGAAAAAGAAGTCGGGTACCCTTAATTATTCCAACCTCTCAAATCTGGAGGACCTAGAAAAGGGCATCCGAACCACCGCAGCTGGCGTCGTTCGGGGCCTTAAAATTTCGAGTGAGGCCACCTTTGTCCTCACCAGCAACTTGGCCAAGGAGCTGGTGCTGCGCCACCCCGCCGCGGCGCCTCGGCAAGCTCTGAGCTCTTGATCCTAGGAACGAAAGGGGCGCCCGGTTTTTTTCCGCTGAAGCTCGAGGCATCCAAGAACCGCGTTTTACCTTTCGCGTTTCTGGACTTTAGTCAAGTTTGAGTGTGTGTGTGTGTTTTTTTACCAATCCACGCAGGAAGTGAGGCGCGCAGATCAGATTCCCCTTTGAACATGAGTTGGCTTGAGATGTTTCTTTTCTCGGAGCTAGCCTCATGGAGCTTGTCTCCGTATTGAACAGCTGCAGGGTGATGCTTGTCTGCCACCCATGCATCGATGTGTGCAAAGGAGGGCTGTGGAAGACTACCATCCTCTTGAAAAGGCCCAAAGGTGAACTTTGATACAAAGGTTGGAATGGACAGTCTGTTTCCCAGACCCGCTAGTTTTTGTTTTTTCTTCTTTGGTTTTGGCTTTCGCAAGTTTGGGAAGATGTGTGTGTGTGTGTGTTGCCGGTGGTAGACCTGCATAATTTAGATGGTACAGTTTTAAACCTTTTTTCTTTGGCCCCCAGTACCTTGCTTGCGTTTGACTCCGTTGGTTTTCCATGACTATCCTGTGAACCAGCAAGTTAGCCTTTTGGAACCCCAATGAAATGATTCGATTCCCCTGTAACTACTTGCCAACTTCTTGGTTTGAACCATGGTTTTATTGATGGTGCAATTTCTGGATTTCGCCTCCCCCCCCCCCCCGGGTCTATTCGGTTTGAGTACCTGGTACTCGTATCTCGACACTCAAGTTTCAGCTGAGGTTGCCAAGACAGAAGGCCGATGCGCTGAGACCAAGCAAGTGCTGCCCAAAGGTGTGGACGGAGATCCGGACTGCGCCGCTTACGCGCCTTGGCCTTCGTGCGATAGGTAGTGAATGACTTCGCGTGTCCGGGGGTATTAAAAAATGAACCGGAAGTGGATTCTCGGAAACAAAACCAGAGGATGGATGGTTTTTCTTGGGGTCATTCCAACTTATTCCCTGCTGAGAATCAGCAGGTTTTAGGTGGCCAGGGGGTGCTTTGTCCAAAGCCCATCTTGCCTTTCCCGTTTTGGCCCCGGATCAAGTGTTGTCGGGTGAACAGGTTGCCAACTAAACCTGGTGGTCCCGAAAGGCCGGCGGCACTTTGAGCCAATGTCACTATCATGTCATGGGTGAAAGACATCTTTTCCAAGGGCGCCCTTGTCCAAGCGATTTTATGTGAGGATCCTGCGTGCGGGCACTTAGCAGATGATTGTGGGATGAAGCAGTCAAAACGCTTGTGCAGACCAGGCGCATGTTTCATCATCATGCCAGGCATTTCGGTGCCACCAAAGTGTTCAGTGCCACCTTTTTGCCCTTTTGGTGGGTTCACGGTCCACCAGAAAAGGATATCCCTTGTTTGCGGGGTCTGGGAAACTGGGGAACAAGTACGCTTGCGTTTCTTCACCCTGTACTTGGATGGAACAAGTGTTTACCCCTCACTTTTACTCCGGTTGTTTACCCAAACTCAAGGTGTAGAGTTGCGTAGGTCCCGGTGGTGCGCTTTCGGCCCCTCTCGAGCCCTGTGCATTCGAAACTTGTTCGAGGGGAATCTATGGGAAGGATCTTGGGCCCAGTCGTCCTTGTTTGTCTGTTTCACTCACTCCTTGAGTTCTTGGACTTAATGCTACTTTTGGGGAGAACCATGTTAGTGGCAAATAGCAAGTTCAGGCTTGATTTGGCTAGTTTAAACTTAGGAAGCTTTAGTTTCGACTTAATTCGCGAGCAGCGCCTGCAGCTCTTAGAAGGGGTGAGTGCTGATTTATGTTTTTTTTCTTTTTCCCTGGGGAGAAGCAACATTTATGTCCGGCGAAGTGGTCGTTCCGGCGTTCCGGACCGGCCGTCCGTTTGCTTGCGGGATACATAATTGCGATGTTTCATCCCAAGCCAGCTGGCCATGGCATTGTGTCTATGTTTAGTGAACCCTCCAGAAATTGTGTGTTTTTTCTTTTTCTTTTTCTCGCCCAAAAAGCACAAACAACAAAAACGGGGGGTGCCCTCAAAAACAGGCACCTAGAGTCTCCATGACCCTTCCAAGAATGGGTCCATGACCCCTTGATTTCGGGTGATGACCCCATGTAAGGGCCATGGAGACTCCAGGCAGATCCCTTTCAGAGCTCATCCGCTCCCCGAGAGCAGCGAACGTTTGGCAGGAGCTGCTGCGCGAGGCGGTGGACCAAGAGCTCAGCAACCCACCCGCCAGACAGGAGCTACGCGCGCGCCATGACTCCCTCCGGCGCTAGAAATGACCCCAAGTCTTCCCCAGAATTAGTTGCCTTTTTTTTGCCTTTTTGTGGGCTCTTTGCTTTCCACTACCGGGCATTGTTTTTGCTGGGGTCCTAGTTCCAGCCAAGAAATGTGGGCCCCCAAATGTGGGAAAGATACGGAAATGCGAAAATATGATCGGGTTAGTGTTTTCCCGAGGGTTATCCTATGCATGGTTGTTGTTGGGAAATATTTTTTTGCGTTTTTTGCTTAGTGTGGTTTAGTGGTTGGAATCCAACCACTCAACTGATAAAAAAAATAAACATAAATAAAATAAATAAAAAAAAATGAATTGTTATCAACAATAACTCCCGGGAAACTCCCCAAGCGAATCGACCTGAGCTCACCTTTTCCGATGTTGGTCCATTTGTAGTTGCCCCACAAGGTGATCAGCTTTTAGTCCTGGGTTTGTAAGAGGCAACTGAGATGAAGTGCATTGCACTGAAGGATCTTGCAAACACTACTGATACATGTAAGTGCGAAAGAACAACAGCAATCGGGACATCAGACAATGATTCAATTGATCCCCTGGAAGCAGACCACAGCCTGGAGGTTTTCGGTTGGGTGGAAGGCTGGTTTTGAAAGTATCCAATCCCCTAGAAGCGGGCATCGGAACCCCCCACTGGACACCTGTACACGCGGAACGCGGAAAGCGGGGAAAAGCGCCCGATTTGGGGATGGATGCCTTTGAGCCCGGGAATGAGAGAATGAACCTGGGGATTTCCTGAAAGGAAGCAGGGGATGGTTTGGGGTCATTCCCTGACTCATTCCCTGCTGAACACCGGCAAGTCAAGATTGGATCCAAAATCGTAGGCCCTGAGATGTGTGGGTGTGTGTGTGTTCCTGGGTACTGGACACACTCTCGGTCCTAAGTTGAACCTCATCCGAATGGAAGGACAGCAGAATGACTTGTTTCAAACCCCTTCGAAGAAGGGTGCTGCAGACAGGACGGTTCCAGATTTCAGTGTGTCTGTTACCCTAGTCGTGGGCGGCATGCCTTACAACACCAAGAGGTGTTAACTTGCGCGAGGTCCCGGGGAATAGTTTGCAGAAGCGTTCCAAGGGTTTCAGAAAAATAGCGCACACCACCACTCTTCCAGTGCCTCAAGTAGCTCAGATTACGTTTTTGCAACCAAACAACACAAAGGTTTTGAACCGGTAACCCCACACGCCAAGACTGCTTGGACCATGCCACAGCATGCCGTTTCAATGCTATCCGGGCCAATGAAGCCTTGTGCCAGCAAAACACACGCCAAACAAGGACTCCAAATCTCTGTCAAAACATGCGGACATACCTTAGCAAGCTTGTCTCGGGAAGCGCTGCTCCCGTTTGATCCGAGCAGTGTTCCGGAATAGGGTAATGCAAGTGACTACATCACGATGGCGCAGCCCTTTTCCTTGGGGAGTTGCAGATTTCTGAGGATAATGCTCGCTTGTATGTTCGCCTTCAGGTTTCCAAAAATATGGATGAGTTTGGAATGTGCCCCAATTTTAGGCTTGCTTTTCTCCACGTCTTAGCCTGAGCTTGGAGATGTTCCAAGCTCTCCAAACTCAAGCTCGCTTTCTCCTAACTCAGCCCTGAGAAATCAATTTGGGGGTCCCTAAAGTTGGCCTTTACTCAGCCTGAGTTTCGAGATTTGCCGAACTTAGTCTTGTCTATATTGACCAAACAAAACCCTTGTTTGACCCATTCAATTTCCATCGAAAAACGGATAGTCGCCACCAATACATTTGCGAAACGCGTCTTCGCACGCAAAGCCAGGCGAGTTTGCAAAACACGGGCCTGAGCGTGAAGATTATCCAAACTCAAGCCGACTTTGGAGAAAACAGCCCTGCCTGAGTTTGGAGCAAGCTCGGGCCGAGTTTGGAGAAACGAACTGAGTTTGGAGAATCTCCAAACGCAGGCCCCAGTTTGCAGAAAATGGGCCTGAGTTTGAAGAAGACTTGTCAGTCAGTCCAAACTCTTTGTACGAAGCCAAGAAGCTCTCCGAGTTTGGAAAATGGAGGAACAGGGCCCGAGGTTGGAGAACTTCTAAACTGAACCTGAGTTTGCAGAAAACAAGCCTGACTTTGAAGAATCCGCAAACTCAGCCCGAGTTTTGAGAAAACAGGCCCGAGTTCGGAGAATCTCCAAACTCACCCCGATTTTGGAGAAAACGGGCCTAAGTTTGGAGAATGAGAATCTCCAAGCTCACCCCGAGTTTGGAGAAAACGGGCCCGAGTTCGGAGAATCTCCAAACTCAGAGTTTGGACTCAGAGTTTGGAGAAAACGGGCCTAAGTTTGGAGAATCTCCAAACTCACCCCGAGTTTGGAGAAAACGGGCCCGAGTTCGGAGAATCTCCAAACTCACCCCGAGTTTGGAGAAAACGGGCCCGAGTTCGGAGAATCTCCAAACTCAGGCCCGTTTTCTCCAAACTCATTTTGTGAAACACGCGAAGAAGCGTTCGGCAAGTGTTTTGGTGGAGAAAATAAGCGTTCGGATGGAGATTGTCAGGCAAAAGAAGCGTTCTGCAGGAGAAAAACACATTGAAATTTGGAGTTTGGAGAATCTCCAAACTCAGCCCGAGGTTGGAGAAAACGGGCCCGAGTTTGGAGAATCTCCAAACTCAGGCCCGTTTTCTCCAAACTCGGGCCCGAGCTTGCAAGCGCACCCGAGTTTGGAGGAAATGGGCCGGCGTTTGGAGCATCTCCAAACTGAGCTTGGAGAATCTCCGAACTGAGTTTGGAGAATCTCCGAACTGAGTTTGGAGAATCTCCGAACGCAGGCCTAAGTTTGGAGAAAATCTGTCTGAGATTGGGGAATTTCCAAACTCATCCCGAGTTTGGAGAAAACGGGCCTGAGTTTGGAGAATCTCCAAACTCGAGCCCTTTTCTCCAAAACTCGGGCCCGAGTTTGCCAAAATTCGATACTCAGTTCGAGTTTGGAGAATCTCAAACCTCAGGTCCGTTTTCTCCAACCTCGGGCGGCGCGCTTGGAGATTCTCGAAACTCGGGCCTGAGTTGTTGGAGAACACATGCCTCAGTTTAGAGAATCTGCAAAGTCATCCACGGTTTGCAGAAAACGGGCTGAGTTAGAGAAAACAAGGCTGAACTTGGAGAAAAGGAGCCTGACTTTAAAGAGTGAACGCAGGCCCCAATGGGCCTGAGTTGGGGGAAAACGGCCTGGGTTTGGCAACTCGGACCCGAATTTGGAAATCTTCAAACTCGAGCCTGAGTTTCCCCAAACTCAGGTTGAGTTGGGAGAAATTGGCTAGAGGCTAGAGTTTGGAGATTATGAGCCTGAGTTTGGAGTATCTCCAAACCCTCACTGAGTTTGGAGACAACGGGCCATAGTTCGGAGATTCTCCAAGTCCAATCGCAACAGCCCGAGTTTGGAGAAACTGTCGAAGTTTGAAATTGGTTGGAACTTAGCGGACTCAGTTCGAAGAAAAAAACCGAGGAGTCGTGAGTCTTGACATGTTTGCTGCTGCCTCCTATCACCCATCTCGGTGATGAGATTGGAGACTGGGACTGTTTGCACCAAACGCGGCACACTCATGCCCCCCCTATTCTCAGAACTCTTCCAATTTACGGGGTCTCAACAAATGAACCGAGTTTCTTCATATGGCGCTACGGGTGCGCAGAAACTGACGTTAGCCCAACTTTGTTCAATTTCAACCCTGGGTTTGGAAAGTCGAGCTCGGTTCCCGACCTTGTTGCAAGGCCTTGTCACAGCAAGATGCGTTCCTGGCTTCCAACAACGGTTGTGAGTACAGGTTGCAGAAACGAAACGTGCCTGATCAAACTGGGGCATGAACACGACAGCTCACTTGGGGGCTGCTATTGCCCCAAGTGAGCCGCCGTTTTCATGCCCCAGTTTGATCGAGAGCGCTTCGTTCCTGCAACTTGCACTCACAGCCGTTTTGGGAAGCGTGGAACGCTTCTTGCTGTGGATTGCAAAAAAGGCCTGAGCTCGTGCAAGTTAACACCAAGAGGCCCCAAGATTTCCAGGCTGAATTTTGAAAAGAACGGGGTCCAGATTTTCCAGACTGCTCGGATTTTCAGATGGGCTAGGTTGTTCCAAGGTCAGTCCTGAGTCCTCGTGAATCCTCATGCCAGGTGGTACTTAGTGGTTTCCCACAACGGCAGTGGCTTCCCAACGCATCCGGACTACGGATTAGGATTTTATCCCGAGCTCCATGTTGAACCTTTTAGTGTTTCTTTGCGATCCCTGCAGCGCACCTGTGTTGTTGTTTCTTTCGGTCTTTTTCTGTTTTCCTTCTTTCCGGGGGGCAAAAAACACGGCTTGCATTTTGAAACGCAAGCAGCCCGCAGCCCCCCCCTACAAAAGCAGGCGCCCCCCCCTTATCCCCATCCACCATTTTGCGTTTTTAGGTTTGTAGCAAAAGCAGCCCCCCCTTCCCCCCCTACCAAAAGCGCCCCCCCCCCCCCCTACCAAAAGCACCCCCCCCCCCCTACCAAATGCAGCCCTCCCCCCCCCCATCTTTGCGTTGGTTTTGCTGTCTAGGACAGCCACTTCTTCCGGGAGAGCGAGATCCGGGGCCGGCTCACCGACGTCTTGCCCTTTCTGCCCTTCGGACCCCAGGAGGTGGCCGAGGCCGTGCGGAACTTCCTGGCCTCCGAGGCCAAGGCGGGCTTCAGGACCAGCGGAAAAAATCAGCGACCGGATCGATCCTCCGGGCCTTCGTGGGTTTTGAGTTGTTTTTTTGGAGTGGTTTTTAGTGGTTGTTGGTGGTTGTTTGTGTTGTTTTGTTTTGTGTGTGTGTGTGTTTGGTGTTTTGGTTTGTGGTTTTTAGTGATTTTGAGTGGGTTTTGTGATGGTTTCCGAGTTTAACCCACTAAAAGTGTTTCACTTGTAGCAGGGCATTTGAGGAGAGCGAAAGGTTGTTAGCACCTTAGCACATTTTGGAACGGCATTCTGGTTTGTAAGGGGCCCTGCGAGAAGGCCCTACGGTTGGATCTTGGACCTTATTATCCGTACGGATCCCCCCACTAGCATTTTGGTGCCGGGGGGCGGGGAACGTGGGCCAGTAAGAAGCGATTTGACCTCACAAGGGGATTTAAAGTTTAAGACCGATAATTCGGATTCGAGTTGATGAAGGTTTACGTGTGCGTGCCTGACCTGAGACTTTGCTTGCTGGTGCGATAGGTTAGGAATGAGGGGATGCACCCAAGTGTTTTGGGTACGCAATGTGATAAACAGCACGCTTGACCCAATCCACTCAGGAAGCGAGTGTTGGTGAACTGGTTATCCAGATCCTTTGGATGCGGCTTCCAATTCGTAACTCAGATTTCTACTGTGTTCCTTGGAGTGGGCCGTGCAATCCTTACCACTGGTGCCTTTGCTAGCGGACTAGGATTGGGATCAACCATCCGACCTTTCAAATACCCTCCTTCCGCAGCAGGCAGGGATTGGACCATTGCTAGAAGGTGGGTAGTGGGATAAATACTGGACAAGCTCCAGCGTGGATGACACTCGTTTGGGGGATGAATGTCCTGCCACGCGGCGCAAGTGTTTGTCCGTCGTACACCAGAGACCCCGGGAAAGACCTCGTCGCCCCGGGTTTCCTCTGCCTTCAAACAGGCCTTCGCTGATGCGCCTCAGTTCAACCACCTGCAGCTGGCATGGTCAGAGGCTGGCTCCAAGTCGAAGCTTCCTCGCCGAACTTTTCTGGCAAACGTGTTGCCATGTCCCCTGAGGGAAAAACATGACTGGACCAGGCGATCGGAAGCCACCAACAGTCTTGGGGCTCCATCTCCCAGGCGACCTGGATCAGGAAGCCACACGGTTCTGGGCCCGAGATGACTTCTTCTTGGGCCCGAGACATGTCTCAAAATGGGCCCGGGGTTCCATGGGTGGTTTTGCTTTGGTTTCCCATTCTCCCAAAAGGGACCCTGAATGCCCCAGCCGTTAGAGGACCCTCAGGTTCTGAGAGGCGGGTTGCACAGGACATGTGGGATGGTTTGAACCGTCTTGATTGGTATTGGGTGACGGGTCTTCAGACTTTAACTTTTTTGGTTGAAGTCAAAATCAACAGGTTTTTGAGCATGAACCCGGGAAGACAGTCACACTTTTTGCGGAAGGGTCCACGGCAACCAAGCAATCATTTGCTTAGAAGCCATTTCGCGCCCGAGAGATAACTTCGGCCAGGAGGTCGTCCCCTTCTTCGCGAACCACTACTTGCGGAAGCCGGACGAGGGCCTGCGGGCGGTGAACAAGCAGCTGCAACAGCAGGCCCCAGAGTTGCATTTGTTTGCCCAAACACGGATCTGCCAAGGGAAACTCCAGAATTTCACGTGGGATCCCTGCAAAATCATGTGGGTAACCGGCAGTTTTCCTAAGTAAAGGCCGGTTTCTGCGGCTGCGAGGGATGGAATTGACAAAACTTGAAGGGAGGGCGCTCCCTTGGTCGGATATCCGCTTGGGCCCGGCTCCACGAAGTGGGCCGCCATGCAGCTTGGGTTTGGACGCGTGGAAGGGAACAGGAAGCCTCGCAAGAGGTTCCTGGGGGCTTTCCACCCCTTGAAGGGCCCAGAAGGGGGTCGCGGACCTAGGTGATGATTAAAGCATTTTCTGTCACCAGTTTGGGAGATATACCTCAAGTTTTCTTAACACTGTTCTTGACTTGCAGGGGTTTGAGGTCATTGTTGTGTTCTTGTGTCGGTAGGGCTGTAAAGAACAAGGTTGCTTGGCATATACCAGGGTCTGGGAAGTTGCGATGTTGTGTTTCGCCTGTTCGTTTGAAGGGACATACTAATGAGTGATAAATAATATGGGTCTTCTTTTCTTTGCCGACCCCTAAAATGGCAGCGGGTTTCCTCCGGGTTGTCCTGTAAATAACCAAAAAGGTTCTACTAACTCGAAACAAAAAATGAAGAAAAACAAAGAAAAGACTCATATCGGTGATACGTTTAGCTCTCCGCGAGGTGCTCTTTGGTAACGGATCTTCGGACCTTAACTTTTTGCAGAGGCGTCGTTAGAGCAAACAAGTTGTTTCCGGGGTCACTGCGCAACTGGGGAACAAGTACGCCTGCGTTCCTTTACCCTTTCATTCCTTACGAATCCTTGGACTTTTTCACTTTTTGGTTGACACAGGAAATGGATTTCCCATACAAATAGGTGAACAACTTGTTGCAGAGGGTTTTACAGCAACCAAGTATCTTGAGGTAATTACTTAAACCCTGCACTGTTCAGAAACTCACCTTTCCGTTCGTAATCCGGTTCCTGAGGAGGGGAACCGTATCGAGACCTTGTGTGAAGAGACCCAGACCTTGTGTGAAGAGACCTTTAACTTTTGCGCACTTTTTTCTGCTCAGATGCTTGTTTGCTGGTGGTGTGTTTACCACTCTTGTCACCCAAAATACCCGCTAGACCCCCTCCAAGCCCACGCCCTAAAGCCACGCCACTCGCATAGGTCCGAGACATCGTGGAGCGCGGCATGGACCTCGGGCTTGTCCCAGCCAGGGGCCAGGTGGTCCTGCAAGCACCTGGCCTTCCCAATTTGTGGGGGGGGGGGGGGGGCGGGACAAAACGCGGCCGAGCCGATGGACTTTGAGTTTTTGGTAACGGGTCGGACTTTCCGAGTTGGACCCACAAAAAGGGGATCTGTTTTCGTCCTATGGGGTGGTTACAGCAAAGGGGGAAGGATAAGCCAAGGATACCCTCCTGTCCACTAGCATGAAACCCGACGTTTCGGAATCGGTCCTGTTTGGGATACTTTTCCTTTCAATTGGACCCGCTGGTGCGTTCCATGTTGGAAGACAGGAGGGTGAGCCTATAATATAGATAAGGTCTTGTTCAGATGTCAAATGGTGATAGGCCCCTCCCCCATCCGTCAGGAACGTCCATGAAGATGCGCCGCGTTGGCAACCGCTTCCCTTGTGACCAAAGCCCGAAGCTGATTTTACGGGTATCCTTCCCCTTTTGGGGGTCCTACGTCGAGTTGCGAACTTGAAAGAACAACTCTTTGTATTATGCACGCATGCATGAATTCGTGCACAACTACCATGATGCTGAACGCGTCACGCAGATGTGCATACAAGTGCACAAGCATAATATATATATATATATATCTCTCTCTCTCCATCGCCGCAGGGAGTCTGCGTTGCGTCTTTGCTCCGCCTTAGGAGCCGGAGTTCTCAACTCCTTTCCAGACCCCGGCACGAATGCCCCAAAAGCAGGTCCGGAGAAAGATGTACAGCTGAGCTTTCGCAAGAAATATTAATATGTGTTACTTTGCACATGCATGCATATGCATGAATCCATTTTGGGAAGCGACTCCAACGGAACGAACCTGAATTTGGTGGTCATGTTGCCGTTCAGAGTAAGTACCCAACCTTTGGCCTCTTTTTCTCGTTGGGTCCGCAAATCAACCGGATATGAACTTTTGCTGTCCCTGCTTTCAATCATGATCCACGTGTTGTATGGCCCTGTCATTTTGGGCAAGCAAGATAATGGGCCTAAAACGGCCTGGAAGCAAGTCTAATGTGTTGTTCCCTATAACCCATGGTGGAATGTACCAGGGCTGTCACTGTCATTGCCGCACAGGAAGCAGGCAAATTGCAGCACGAACTCCGGAGGTAAACCGAGCTGACCCATGATGCCAGTGACTTGTGCCAATGTTGAATCTCTTTGGTGCTGTGCCAAAGTTTCAAATTCAACACGTACCATATTTGGAAACAGACATGTTTAGCGGCTGGCTTAAAAAAACGGATTGCGCAAACTGGTTGCAGAGACAGATTCGAGCACCCGTTCCATTCCACGACTTTGTTCAGAAAGTGCCAGCCAGGGAACACATGGAAATGCACCTGAGGTTGGATTTGTGGGAGATACGTAGCCCCTCATGTTCCTACCTGGACTCAAGACTAGACATCCGGACCAAACTTATGTGGTTCGTAGTCCCCATGATCTTCTGGGATCCATGGGTAGCCTTCCAACCAGAAGGCAACTGCGGGAAGGTTTCTGAGAGATCAGTTTCCTCTCGAGACTCGATGTCAGGTGGGCTAGGGGGCAACCTGTGGCTCCTTGAAACTCCAAGAGTTAAGCCCTGCCAGTGGGCACTGTATTTTTTACCCATCTCCATTGAAGTTTAGACATATCTGTGACCGATCTATGCTTGGCGTTTGGGTGTCGAGTCCGTTGCGTGAGGTAGCCAAGGGCGCCTTGGACCTCCGAGTGGTTGCGGCGCAGGCACAAGCGAATGCGATCAGGCGATCGGATCCATTCCCTTGGATCACGGCACGGAACTCATTTCCTGAGTTCCTGAACTTCGAACCTTTGTGTGTGGCTGGACCATTTTCCACCACATGCAATTCAGACTTTTTTGACCAGTCCACTCAGGAAGTGAGTGGGTGTTGGTCCTTTTTTTGTGTATTCTTTTAGTACTCTTTTAGCCTTCTACAGGGGTGGAACCACAAAAGCCACATCCAAACCGTTTTCTAGACATTTGGAAGGTTGTGATGCCACTTTAGACCCCGGGCAACGGGCCAACCGAGCGGTTTTTGGAGCTGCAGGGTTGGTAGACGTTCCATCGAAGGAACCGCACGTAGAGAAACGCTTTATCAGGCTCAGAGCAGGAGCAAATATCTACATACATTATGTATATATATATATATGTGTTTATTTATTTATTTATTTATTTATATAGATAAAGGGGCCAGCGCACTTTCATGGGCGGTATCATTTTGTAGGTAGACGGGTGGTGAAGTTGTCCTGTGTAAATGGTTGACAGGTCTCCTTTAGGTGCCAATTGAACTTTCTGACCTTCAGGTCAGATTCACTTGTTTCACTTCCAAAAAAGACCCCCCTGTTGGGCCAGGCCTTTCCAACAGTGAAGCCGAAGACGGCCGAGCCCAAAAAGGAGCCAGAGGACTCGCACATGTCGCCGTTGTCTTTGTCAGTTGGCCCCCGCATGGAACAAACCAGGCTGGGCAACTGAGGTTTGGCTCAGGCTTGCCGCTTGAGCATTGCGGAAGCTTGACCCGTGGGTCTGGCAAATGACGCCTTTGGACCTGGTGGTTCTGGTGTGCCGCTGCGTGTTCTAAGCATGTACAGAACAACTCACTCCCTGAGTTCATGGATTTGAAACTTTTTGGACAGATGGTTTTTTCCCGCTAGACCAAAGGTTCAGACTGTTGGCCAGTCCACTCAAAAGGTAAGACACATGTCATGTGCGCAAGAATGATTGGTTCAGTACCGGTGTTCCTGTTCAAGTGTTCCCCTGAGTTCCAGGTCGTGGCCAGCCATTGCCATCTAAAAGGGCATTGCGTCTTACCGGAGATGGCAAACTTCAAGCAGTGCGTTTGTGGCCAGGTCAGTGCTGTTGGCGGGCAAGCAGCTAGTGCTTGCATACGATGATGAGCTAATGCAAAATGTGCCTGATGCAACACAAGCAAGCATGTATCTCACCCTATTCCAACTGCCGGGAGACACCCTGCATGGATTTCCCCCTGCATCATATATACACACAAAGGCAAGGGCAAACATGCAGGCGCCGCAATCACGCAACACAACCCGGCTCCTGCGCTTTGCGCGCCTTTGGCTGAGACCAAGCAGGGCAACATTTAGGCTTCCACGTCACTGGCGGTTTGGAAGGCCAAGGGCCAAGTTCCCATCCCCTAGAATCCGGGCAAATCAATTGACGGTTTGTGACTAGTGGGCTTGTGTGAGTTGTATGTGTGTGTTTGAGATTTAGTGTGTGTGTGTGTGTTTGCTTTGGAGTTGGCACCCTGTTCCTTTTGTGTTTTTGTTTTTTTTTGGCGGAAGCGCACGGACACGCCGCATGTTCCTCCGATTTCCTCCCCTGTTTTTGAAACTCCATACCCTGAATGGGTCCCGCCAGGAGCCCGCAAAGCCGACTCTGGCGGGCCTGTTCGGCTGGGAGCCAACGCCGGCTCAATGGCAACAGAGCCTCGCTGGAAGAAACCAAAACCGCGGGCGGGAACGTCCTTTTCCCTTTGCTGAAAGGAATATGTGTTACTTTCCGCTGCTGGTAATTTCATTGGAATCTGTCACTACTGGCCATATTTTCTCATTTGCTCTTGGGTTCAAGCAAATCTGATGGAGAGCCGCGTTTTTGATTCTTATGGAGACATGTGGAATGGCGCCCCTTCCAGCGGAATGCCAATTCTGATGGAGCTCAGGGCCGTGAGGCCGTGAGGTGTCATCACCAGGACTTGTTTCATTCCGGAGCCAGACTCTTTGCTTTGGCGTCAAAGTGATCCCGGTTAACAAACACATAATTTGCTTGAAGAGAGTGCCTCCAGATTTCTCCCGCCAAGACCGGACCCCTTATGCTTTGGTCTGGCGCTCCTTGCGCGAAGAGAGCGGTGCGCGTTTCCTTTCAAACAAACCAGCTTTCCGGGGTCCTCCTGTATGTCTCGACTTCTATATAAGTATGTAGTTACATGCAATATAGAGGCCAACCTGAGTACAACAAATTTCTGTTTATAGTTACCTACAATGAGAGGCCAACCTGAGTGTATATCTCTCTATATCTCTCTGCTTCTCCCTATTGAATGCCCAAGGGGCACGTTGCTGAGGCCCGCAGGTCCAAGGAGCACGTCCTTGGACTCCTGGGAGTGGGAGAGCGAGTGGCAGTGGCTGGAGAACTGGGACTGGCAGAAGCTTTGGGAGCAGATCTTCTTGCCACTCGGAAGTCGGAAGCTTCAAAGTTGCCAGTTGCAACCAGTGGTGCTTGCTTCCCTTTTCCATTTTTTCTGGAAGGGGGTTGCTTCCTTTTTCCGTGTTTGTTTTTGTTGCCCAGTGGGGTGCTTCCTTTTTCATTTCTTGGCCACTGGGCAGAGTATTTTTGGATCTGTGGTTTGTGTGCGCGGTTTAAGGCTAGGTACTCTTTTGGATGGTGGCTTCAACAGGAAAGGAGCACCATGATACATCACCCCCATACGGGTGTATGTGTCAAAAATAAGGGGACCACAAGGGTTAGCACTTATTCTGAAAATGGGTCATGATCAAAACCCCTGTGGATCACGGCGTTGTCAAACAGATGGCCGGTTCCTTTTCGGACCATGCCGCCCAAGGTGCTGCCGTTTTCCCGTTTTCATACCCAAAAGGACCTACTTTTGACACCCCCCCGCCCCCCGCCCCCCCCCGTCCCCCGATGGGGCTTAAAACAAGCAATCTGACCCACCCACGGTGAAAGGTCTCCCTTACAGTAGCTTTATTAGGGGCAGTTTAGTTTGTTGTTGGTTTGCTAATGGTAGGTGGACAGTATCGCGTTTCTTCCGCGAGGTCACCGATGGGGCCATGTGACCCATAAAGTTACTTTCCTGGTGGGTTCCCTTGTTGTAATTTGCTCTCCGTACCAAAGCTTTTGCCAGGTTCAGAAGAATGGTTCTCACCCCTCAGAAAGCGTTCTAGACAAACATGATGTTCCGGGGGCCAAGCCTGTTGGAGTTCCCAAGTTTCACACATCCCGCCCAAGCCCATGCGTCCAACGAGAAATAAAGAGAGGTAAATGAGGGGTCAATACACCCAAAGACTGAGGTGCCAGATTTCATCTTTGATATTTGGGGTTTGGCCTGGGGTCGCGCGGAGACCTGTGACATGGGGAAAAGGTGTGCCTGTTGTTCTCCCTTGAAGCAACCCAATAAGGGATACTAACATGCTTGAACCCCAGTACTTCCATGAACCCTTACCACAAGTTTGCCTTGGAAATCAAGTGGAGCTCCGGCAGAGGTCCCCAAATTAACAAAACTCAGTGGGGTTTCAGGTTCCTCTACGACTGGCGCTTCCCCCTGGGCATCACAGCCTTGTGCCTTGTGGCCGTGGCTGCCGCCGGGGCGCCGCTGGCGCCACTGGCGCCGCTGGCGCCGCTGGCGCCGGCGGGGGCGGCGGCGGCGGGGGCGGCCGGCGTCGCGGCGGCGCCAGCGGTGGGCGTTGGCCTTGGGGCGGTGGCCACCTGGGTACTGGCCACTGTGCAGGCTGTGCTTGGGGGGAGGGGGGTTGGATCCGGTGGGCTGCATGGGGGTGGATGGTTGGGTGGATAGTTGGGGGGTGGGAGAAGTGGAGGTCGAGTTTTGTTTGTGGTTTTTCGGCTTGTTGATCAACCCGCTTCTGTAGGTTGGATCCATGGCTAGGGTGACAGTGTGACAGGGGGTGATGCCCAACCATGGCTATGCCTGACCTGGGTACATTCGACCCCAAGGTCAATGTGTCCATTGGGCAAGTCTCAGCAATGACGAAGTCTTGGGGGAGGTCCCTAGCAAGAAGCAATTCCACAACACGCCCTGGTGGGTGAGAAGCAATGGGGTTAGGGGAGATTATCGCGGGTCTCAGTCCAAGACAGGCTCGCCACTCCTTTCAGTTTGTGAAGGATGGTTTTCTTCTTTGTGGCTATTTGGTTGGATCTTTGGACTTGAACTTTCGAGCTGAAACAGGAAGGATTTTCCAGTGGAGCCACAGAAAACAAGACAGACTTTGTGCAGAGGGGTCGTTACAGCAACCAAGTCCCGGTTTGCCACGGTCAAATGGACTCACTGCGATCCGATTTCTTGGACTTTTGGCCACTTTGGTTCGAGCACCGGAGACCAAACCGGGCTGAAAAGACCGGCAAAACTGCCTGCGCTATGGCTATGGAGCTCAAAGTGGTGAACACCTTCCTGCAAGTGCAGGGGGAAAGACAGGACCAAAAAGACTCGGGTTGATCCTGATATTCCCTGGGGCCTTGCCACCCCAGTTTTGACCATGGGCAACTTGTCTCGTAAAGATGGCGGAAGTCAGCTTTTTGCAGTTTTTGTCCTTGCAACGGACCGTTTGATCAACTCCCAAGTCCTTCAGAACCATCTCTTGCTTGACGGCTTCACTGAACATCGGAGAAAAAAATAAAAACAAAAACATCAAAAGGGCTCCCTTTTGCCGGGTCACTGAACAACTGGGAAGTGGCTTCCTTAAGTTTCTCTTTTGTGCCAACCGCTTGAGCGCAAAGACGTTCGGCATCCAGGCATCCATTTGAATTTGTAAATTCGGGCTGGGCTCACCCATGATGATGGCCCCTTGCTTGGGATTCCTTCTGTTTGGTGTGCGAATCCTGGAAATTTGACAGAAGTACTGGACCATTTCCCAAATAATGAGGTGCTTCCAACCGCATGTATGCACGGAGGGGCAACCCCGCTTCTGTTTTATCCGGCTTTGTTGTTTGGCGTTTGTAAGAGCAACGGCCAAACAAGAGATGGCCTTTCTTCAATCCCCACCCCTTAAGCATGGAATTGGGCGAGGGGTGTCCTGGAATTCCATGTATGCTTCCATTTCCCTTTTTGGGGAAGACTGTATATATATATATATACATATAGATATGGAATTGGGGACCCCCCACCCCTCCCCGTTGTGGTAGGGGGGATCTTTCTTCCCGTGGTTTTTCTGGGCAGGGCACAGGTTCCACCGGGTGTCCAGCTGGCACCCAGGAGCTGTTGCGCAGTGACTCCGCCCCAGCCCTCCCGGAGAATTGGGCGCGGGAGATGCCGGAGCAAAACGCCAGGCGCGGCGGCCCTTTGGTGCTGAAGAAAGCCCTAGCTTTTGCGTTTTTTTTTTTTTTTAAATCCCCCTGTTGGTTTTAAAGGAATCTATCACTACTGGAAATATGTATGTATATATATATATATATATGTATATATGTTTGCAGGGGACTTAAGCAAATGGATGCTGGTGGGTGGTAGACTACTCGATGCCAGGTCCTGATTAGTCACACTCATTTGGTGTGCTCAGGGGGTGGTCTGGCTAGGTCTCAGAAACGTTTCTTTGCATTGAGGTGACACTTTCAGCACGGTTCCCTTGGTGCTGAATGAGTTTCCCTTTGGGCACTGAAGCTCCAATCATGCAAACAACAACTTCCCCGTCACTCCGCCCCCGGGGTCCCGTGGGGCCCATGGATCGCGAGGACGTCGTCACAGGCGCGGGTCCGCAGTACGACCCCCGACCCCTGGGAGTGGGAGGCCTTGGCTTCAGAGCCGCCGACGTCCGACGCGTCAGAAGCGTCTCGCTGAGGTTTTTGGCGCTGGGGATCTAACTCTGCAACTGAGGTCCCCCAGTTCCCTAGTTACTAGCTTTTTGGTTGGGGTGTTGGGTTCCCCTATTAAAATAGACTACAGAAAAAAGGGTACACTTATTCTAACCTCTCTCTACTGGAAGACCTAGAACTCTAAAATTAGAGGGAGCGAAGGAGCTATCAGGAGGTCTGTAAGGACATGGTTGGGGTTTGTTCCAGGGGTTGGTTGCAGCAGCCACAACAAGAAGGGGAATTTATTTTGACATGAGTTGATTCTATTCTCAAGCGAATCGATCAATCGAAGTGACCTTTTTGGGTTTCGCTTTTTGGGCAGCCATGCTTTTTGGGAAGGCAAAAGGTGAAGCTTCTCCAGGTCCCAATGGGGCGACTGAGCCAATTGTTCCCATGTTGTTTTCCTCAAGCTGGTCCAACCGGCTGCTGCGGATTGCGGATTTCGCAAGACCCTTTGGGAGGGTCTTGCGAGGAATTGCCAAAGTTTCCGTGTGGGTATCCGACTTTGTATCAGCCGCCCCTTGGAATACACATGTGTTTGCGTTTGTTTGCTGAGGGTACCCCTTGTAACTGTTTGGGCTGAGTCCAAAGGCCGCCAAAGCATTGTGTGGGGGTCGCCATCAGAGCGTCAAGCTAAGAACCAAGTGGCACTTAAAGCAACTCACTTAACTTTGGCTGGGGGAAACATATATTAAGTGTGATGAATAAGATCCGGGCATATTAATTAGTAAAATCATAGGTAAAACCTAGGAATATGTCACAACCGTTTAAAACATGTGGTGTTTGTCTATCAAATGGCTGAAGCTCCTCACGGGTCGCTGGAGTTCCCCCGCTCTTAGGTTCTCGCCGAGAAGCCGTCGCTGCAGACCTGGGGCTATCGCCAGGTGTGGTGGCAGGCGGGCGTCGGGCGAGGGAGAGGATCCCTAGGTCCTTGGCTTTTTGCTGGCGCGATAGGTAGGGAATGAATGACGCAGGGTGTTGGGAATGAACCTGGGAATTTCTTTTATGTAAAGGGCACCACGAAGGATGGTTTATACATTTGTTTGCTTTACGGTTTCCCCTTTTTGGCAACTATTAATAGTGTCCCCCAAAGGTGATCACCTTTATTCCTTGATCCTTTGGGCGATTGAGTTTGGGATCCATTTCTAGGTTTGGAAGTATCAACGGAAAGTGACTTTCAGGTCACACGAGAGTCAGTTCGTAGTTGCACCTTCTCTCGCCGAAATCCAACACATATGGTTTTTCCTTGTCATATAGCCTTTCGGCCAGCATGAAGCCCATGGTGTTTGTTTTGTTCAGCCCACCTGACAGAGTTTCTATCGGGTTTGTCCCTAGCTGAGGGAACCCAAGCGCGTTTTGCTTTGCATTGGGTTTCCCTGCGCAACACGCCAGGCGAATTGAAACAAACCACCCACGGGGTTACACTTGACTACCCCATGGGGTAGCCTTAAACCCAGGCTCATGACCCCCAAAGGGGGGGTTTAAGTCTATCTTGGGGTAGTCAAAAAGAGGAACAAACACTCGGGGATGGACAGCTTGCAACTACACATTCTGATGGCATCCCTTTCGCAAAAGCCGCTCCTCAAACTCTCGGAGGTGTGGGTGAGAAATTAACGGTTCCCCTGTAAGAGGGTTTCTATGCGTTGTTCTTGGATGAGCCGGGATGTTCAAAGGGTCAAGATGGATGTGTGCAACAGAACGGGCCGAAACTCAGACTTTTCAGCGTGACTGGACACGATCCGCATGTCCGCCAGCACGATGGACCCTGCGAAGGTTTTGTGGGACTGTCGATGCCCCAAAAGAATGCGAAAGGATCACGGAACGCCCCGCCAAATCTTTATGGCAATTTGGCAACAGTTCGGATTTTCCCATTCAACCCACAAAATGTTAAAACTGTTTGCAGAGGGGTCGTTACAGCAACTAAGTAATTTAGGGTGATTCGCATGGTTTTGTGGTTGAGCATGGCTGGCTTACTTGATATTCCTTTGGGGCATCCATCGCACTCTCGGGCGAATCAGTGAGGGCCTTGTCTGGCACAAGTTCAAATGGCTACCCTTAGTTGGTGGTTTGGATCTGCATCCGAGCGGTTCTTGAGGGTAAATGGGTTTACCACTCCCGGACCACCACCAAACCATCACTAAGAGGGAAGCTGCTTGCTGCGATAGGTAGGGAATGTGGGCATGAACCCAGGCTTCTCTTGAAAGGAAACCACCAGTCGGATGGTTGTTCTTGGTGTCATTCCCTTTCTCATTCCCTACCTATCGCGGCAAGGGACTAGCTCAACTAGGTCCCCCAGTAGTGCCCCTTCTCACCCCTTTTTGGTTGGGAGGGTTCCCCTACTAAAATAGACGAAACAGAAAAAACAAGTTGGTACCAACTTATTCTAAGCTCGCAAATCTGGAGGACCTAGCTAACATAAAGAGCCAAAAGGGGATTGATGATTGGCTCCTTCACTTTTCCAGACCGTACGAAAGACCTTAGCAAAAGCGCCATGGGGTTAATTTGTGGAAGCGACTCATGTGCAGGGCCCACGGGGCCCACGCCAGAACATAGTCAAACAAACCACCGCAAGCGGCAGTGAAAGCGGCGAGGTAGGCCGAGCCAAGCTGAGCTCCAACTCGGAGCGCGTAACGAGCCCGGAGTTTCAGCTCGCAGTGGGGGAGGCGGGGAGGGGCGACCTATGGCGAGCACCCACAAACCGGTTTCATGGGATCTACGAGGCTAGGAGCAAGGGAGGCGGGTGAGGGGCGACCACCCCACGAGTTTCATGGGATTTGAATTTACCTTCATTGCTGAGTTGGATCTTGAGACTTTAACCTGTTCGGGAAACCAAGGGTTTTGTCATTGATTCCACAAGTTGAAAACTGTTTGGGTCAACAGCAACCGAGTTACAGTGTAACTCATTGAGGTCCTGGGAATGAAAGTCAC